TCAAAATTGATTTGCCAGGGGATGGGATTGTGGCTCAGTGGTAGAGTGCTCACCTAGCATGCAAGAAGCACTGAGTTCAATTCTCAGCACCACATAAATGTAGAATAAAAATATTGTGTCCACATAAAAGTTTAGAATAAATATTTTTTAAAAAATCATTTTGCCAGGCACAGTGGTATACCTGTAATCCCAGCAACTTGGAAGGCTGAGGCAGGAGGATTTCAAGTCCAAACTAGCCTCAGCAACTTAGTGAGGCCTAAGCAAGTTAGTGAGACCCTGTCTCACTATAAAAACCAAAAAGGGCTGGGGATGTAGTTTATTGGCTAAGCATGCCTGTTTTAAATCTCCAATACACAAACAAATAAATAAGCAAGCAAGCAAATAAATAAAATTCATTTCAATAGTTATTTCAAACGTTTATAATTTTAATTTACTATACAGATTTTCTGCAGTGTATGCCTTCTGTCTGGGGTGTTGTCAAGCAGCATGTGATTCTGTTTTTAATGAATTCATTTTAATTTAATTTCATTTTTAAAAGATTTTACAGGTGTGCAGTCGTGCACACCTGTAATCCCACCTATTCAAAAGGCTGAGGTGGAAAGACTGCAGGTTTGAGGTCAGCCCTGGCAACTTAGTGAGATCCTGTTCTCAAAATAAAAAAGACCTGGGAGTATAGCTCAGTGGTAGAGTGCCTCAATACCATAGAAACTTAAAATTTAAAAAAAAGTATACTGTTTAACTCTAAAGCCACTTACATATATATTTAAAAATATATATTGTAGTTGTAGATGGACACAATACCTTTATTTTGTTTATTTATTTTTTAATGTGGTGCTGAGGATTGAACCCAGGTCCTCTCACGTGCAAGGCAAGCGCTCCACCGCTGAACCACAATCCCAGCCTCCCTAAGGCCACTTTTGTGCTCCTCTTGAGAGTCACTACTTTTCCCAGCCCTAGATAACTACTTTACTGATCAGATAATTTTACATGTATTTTTCTTTTCCAAATAAATGGTACCTGAGCACACCTTGGTCTTTGGCGATAGGTGATTTGAATTATTAAAAATAAGTTCAAATTAATCAATCTCTCTGCCCCTGCCCACAGAGTAATGCACCTCCAGTACCTTTCACCCAACCACCTTCAACAATTTCAGTTCATGTATGATCTTTTTATCTTCCAGCCTTCCCAGTTGTTTTGAAGTAAACCCAGGCATCATGTTATCATTTTGTTAGTGATATCTATCTTCCTCCCTCCTCACTTTCTCTCTCTCTCTCTCTCTCTCTCTCTCTCTCCCCCCCCCCCCCCCTGTGTGTGTGTGTGTGTGTGTGTGTGTGTGTGTGTGTGTCTCTATCTTTCTCTCTCGGACTGCATGTGAGTGAAACCACTGAGCCACACCCCCAGCCCAGCTTCACTAAATTGCTGAGGCTGTCTTTGAACTCCTGATCCTCCAGCGTCGGCTTCTGGAGCTGCTGGGATTACAGGCATCCGGTTTGTTAGATATTTTTACTTAATGAAGATCATTCTTTCTTTTTTAAACAGAGAAGCTTTAGTGAACTTACTCCTTAATATCAAGTATTCCATTGGGGTTAAAAACTTCACAAATATCTCAATTTTTTTATAATGTTTGTTAAAAGTAATATTGCATTGGTCAATATGTCCCTTAAGTCATTCCCTACCCTCGGTCTTTCTTAATCTAATCTAAGGGTTTTTCCTTCAATCACTTTCTTTTATCTTCCCTTGCAGTATTTGTTGACTTTGTTTTTTCTTTTAAGTTTGTGTAACTTTTACTTCTGGGTGTTCTTTCAAATATGTAGTTTCAGTCAGCCTTTATGAAGGTGATTGGTAGGAACTTTTAAAATTGAGGTATAATTTACACACAATTAAATGCACTGATCTTAAGTGTTTGGTTGAATTTTGATAGTTGTATACACCAGTGTATTCACCACCCAATATATGTTGTTTTCATTTATGATCTTTTAAAGAATTTAACCTTTATTTTATTTATTTGTTTTTATGAGCTGCTGAGAATCAAACACAGTGCCTCACTCATGCTAGGCAAGCAGTTTAGCACTGAACTGCAACCCTAGCTCCATCATTTGTGATCTTTTTTTGATGGAAAAAAAGGAGAAATCGCTTCTCTTTTGAGGCTCTAAAATTTCGAGTCACTACAACAGGGTGGAAAGAATATCATTATATCATTGATTTCTGTTAAAAATACAAATTAGGCTGGACATGGTGGCACATGCCTGTAATCCCAGCAACTCAGGAGGTTGAGATGGGAGGATTGCAAGTTCGAGGCCAGCCTCAGCAACTTAGTGATAACCTTAAGTCACTTAGTGAGAACTTGTCTCAAAAAGTAAAAAGGGTTGGGGATATAGTTCAGTGGTCAGATGCCTTTGGGTTCAAACCCCAGTATACCCCAATCCCCCCAAAAAGAAAAGAAAGAAATGTAAATTAAGGGGTTGCTGGGTATATAGTTCAAAGATAGAGTGCTTGCCTATCGTGCTGGATTTGATCTCCAGCACCATTAAAACAAACAGTAAACCTCAACTTCTCATGAGAAATATGAATCAGAAATGTAGAGCTTTTCACTTTTCAGTTGTCAGATGAATGAATTTAGAAAATTTAGGTTTTGGAAATACTGTTAGCAGAGGGATATATGTAACACCTTAAAAGTTAACGGCGAGAGGAGGGAATGTACTTAACTGCATTGGAATTTACATCTTTGCAAAACAGTTGTGGCTGTTCAGTTACTCCTCTAAATTGCATGTATCCTTCCCTACACATTCTACCTGTGCCTCCATTTCGGGCAACAGACAGACTTCCACTCTTCTGAATTCTCTAAATTCAGGAGAATTATGGTTATTGAGATCAGCAAAGTATTAACTGCAGCTGAGGCACATAAATATCTTGAGTATAGTATTTGACAGACATTAGCCAACTTGGTTCTTTCATCTTTGCTTTGCTCGTGATTTGAATTTAAACATTGGGGATATTTATTGATTGCATTTTGTTAGACTAGTTGCATTGTTCTTAGTTTGATGTACCAGAATGGAAGTTAATAAGAGTCATTGACTCTTGTGAACAGTTATCTTTAATGCAACCCTCTGATAACAGCTATTTTATAGAATGCTTAGATTAGAAAACAGAATCAGAGTTCCAGTGATTTACCCAAGGCTATACATCTAGTAACTAGCAACAGGATCTAACCCTGTTACTCTGAAACTATTAAAAAGTTTTCACTAAACTATACCATCTTCACAAACATTAAATGAAGCTTAAGCAATAGTAATTCTGCCTCTCACAGTTCCTGCTTCTTTTATTTAGTACATGGAATAAATAGAATCATATTTAAAACATAAAATTATATAAAATTCAGTGTGATAGTTTTCCACATTGAACATGCATTTTTTTGAGGAAGTTTTATACTAAAATAGTTAAGCAAAGTAATTTGTACAATATTACAGTGTGTAATATTAAGACATGAGAATAGTATTGTTTTTAAAGACAATTCTTAAGAAAATAGTTTATTGAATTGTCTTTAGATATTTTACCTCAGGAAGGATGACTTTCTTATAATTTGAAGTTTCTTAAATATCTAGGTCTTCATTGAATTTATAGTTTAATTTTTTAAAGTTGCTAGTTTCTTTTTGTGGAAAATAGGTTCATTTAAAAGCTTTTTCTAAAAGCAACATTGTTAATATAAATGTCTTTTTAAAGAGGTGTTTTTTATATCTTAAAATTATATCTATATTCAGATCTGTATGATTCCTGTTCCTGAAAGAACATCTGATTATTGTTTCTGCTTCTTTGCAAATCTTGAGAATTTTATCAATCATAAGTAATTTTAATCATCTGATTTTTACTTTTGGATGTTCTTATTTTGTAAACAAATTCTGGCTTTTAGTATTTTAATCTAAATTGTTACATATATCAAGATTGTTACTAAATTTTTTGTCCCCAACTATGATTCTTCCCCCCGCTACAAAAAAAAAAAAAAAAAAAAGATTATAGATTCCATCATTCTTTCAGACTTGCCATAGTATATAAAAAAAAAATTTAGTTGTCTTTTTCTTGGTTTCATTGAGCTTTTGCATTCTTAGAAGAAAACGAATCAGAAAAAAAAAGAACATTTTTTTTAAAAAGTAGAAATACAAATTGCTTTTGGAAAGGCCTTTTTATGTAAAGTTGGTGGGGTAAGACAAATGGAACAGCTAGTTAAGCTCATTCCTTCTGTACTTATTTTGAACTTCAAAGTTCCTAGTTTAACCTCTGGTTCAGTCCCATCTTACTAGATTTAAGTGGCTTTTGTTTTGTTTTGTTTTTTCATGCAGGTTCTGCTCATTAATCACCACGAGTGTGGATCTGAAGAAGAGTTTATTACCTCTCTTTTTTTGAGTATGTTTAACTTCAGATACACACAACGTAGCCTCTCCTTCCCTATTAGATTCTTAGAAGGTAGTTATATTTTTTTATAGTCTCCTTCTTGTGCCTTTGATAGTTGTGATCAATAAAAATAAAAACTATTCCTTTCATACTGGGCTACTGCATGCAAATCAGTTCACTTAAAACCTCCTGGAGGTCTTTGGCATGCCAGACAAAAAACTAAGAGTGTGTGTTTGTGGAGGTAACCATGTTCCTAAGAAATCTTAAGCATTTAATTCTTGTATCAAGAATCTGGGAAAGTCATTCTTTAGGTTCTGGGAATCACTGACTTTAAGGGGCTTGCTTTCGGTGTGTGATTTTTCAAAATCATTTAAAATGGAATTGATAAATTAGATGTTTTTGTGGTAGTAGATAATGTCTCTGAATAATAAACATTAATTAGCATTGTAGCTACTGTATGCTTAACAATAGATGATTTATCATGCTTTATTAAACATTAATGAGCATATATTTTTGTTTGTAATTTTTTTAGACAAATTGATGTACTTTTCCTTCTGTACATGAATATGATGAATAAAATATAATACATAAAATTCATCCTTCTTTATACCTAGGGCTGGAAAAAAGAAAGAATTCTGGCTGAATACCCCGATGGCAGGATAATAATGGTTCTTCCTGAAGACCCAAAATATGCCCTGAAAAAGGTAAATTTGCAGTGAAATTTTATACAGAATGGATTAATATCACTTTCCAGCTAAAGTTTAAGAGTATAATACATTGGTAGCACAGCACATTTAAACATCAGTTCTGAAAACAATAAATAATAATATAAAGGATACAGCCAATTTGAAAAATTATGCCAAACTTTGAGGTAATCCAAAACATGTGAAATGAATTTTATTTTTTGGTACCAGGGATTGAATCCAAGGGTACTATACCACTGAGCTACATCCCCAGCCCTTTTTATTTTTTATAACAGGGTCTTGCTAAGTTGCTGAGGCTGGCCTTGGACTTGTAATCCTTCTGCCTCAGCCTCCTGAGTTGCTGGGATTATAGGCATGCACCACTGTGGCCAGCTGAAATGAATTTTAAGTGAATTGATTATTGTCCAGTGTTATCAATAATTTGAGTGATTAATTAAAGATAGGCTATTTAATTGAGTTAATGAATAATGCCCAGTAAGTTATCTTAAGAATTAGAATTAAAATTCGAAGTTGAGGCCTGGGAAAATAGCCCAGTGGTAGAGCAAATGATTAGTGAGACCTTAGCCTAAATCCCCAGCACCAAAACCAAAAAAGTTGAACCATAATAATTTACAAAATTAAAAAAAAAAATGAAGTTCCATTCTAAGTGTAAATTTCTCTTTTTCTTTCTTTCTTTTTTTTTTTTTTTTTGGTATCAGGGATTGAACTGGAGGCACTTTACCACTGAGCCACATCCCCAGCCCTTTTTTAAAAAAAAATTTATTTTTTGTTTTGAGGCAGAGGCTTGCTAAATTGCTTAGGGCTTCTCTAAATTGATGAGGCTGGCCTTGAACTTGCGATCCTCCTGCCTCAGCTTCCTGCATTACTTGGATTACAGGTGTGCGCCACTGTGCCCAGTTCTAAGTGTAAATTTCTAAGTAAAAGCTTATTGTAGAAGAATATTTAAGAGTAGGGTAATAGTAAAACGGAAATTAAACATGAAGTAATTATATACATATTTTTAATACCTTTATTCTATTTATTTTTATGTGGTGCTGAGGATCGAACTCAGGGCCTCACGTGCTAGGCAAGCGCTCTACCACTGAGCTACAGCCCCAGCCCAGGTAATTATATTTTAAAGGATAAAAACGATACATCCCAATTTATAAATACAATGTAGAAAACTTAAAATTTTCCTCTTTTCTAGTGTTAACCAGGTCTTAGTTCTACTTAGGTCCATACTTTCATTTCAGGGTTGAGTTTATTGTGTTGAGAAATGAACTAAGAGATATTGAAGCCTGTATCTATTTTGTCATATGGAGTATCTAAAAAGTCAGGAACCATAGGATAAACTTATTGTTAAATAGTATGTTGGCCTGGGATGGGATGTATCTCAGTGGGACACTGTTAACTTAGCATTTGATAATTGTTAGGCTTGATCCCCAGCAAGAAAAAAGAATTTATTGCACTTTCAGTGTATCTCTTCATCCCCTGGATGCTTTTTCAGAAATACCTCATAATGTAAGTAATGGGTTTAGGCATTTATTCAAAAAACTTAATTGTATTAGAGTATGTAAAAAATTTATCTGAAAAAATAAAGAAAATAATTTATTTACTGAATTTTGTTTAACTTCACAATTAGACCTCTCTAAATTTAGGAATACTTTACCTGAAAAAGACATCGAAGGAAAACATCTATTATTTGAAAATGTAGTTAGCATTCTACTTAAGATAAAAATTTATTTTGTGGATTCTGATTTTTCAGATCCCCTGTATATCTAACTGGGCAACCCCAGATAACCAGATAAGCCCCTGCATTGCTTTACAGTATAGACAGTAGCATTTAGAATGATACAAAAACAGGCCCAACCTGTCTTGTATTCAAAACTTTGATGCTTGCACAAAAATATATACTTGTTTTTTATATAATTGACTAATGAAAAATGTGGAATTTTTGGAATTCTAACTATTATTTAAAAATGCACAGTAGGAATTTTGCTACAATTACCTTATGTGGCAGACATATCTTACTAAGAGTTTTCACATTAAATGCTAATTTCCTTCTCCCTCATGGAGAGAAAAAGTGAGGATAGAAGGCACAAGCTCACTAAAAGTCTAAAGTCTGATCATCATATCAATAGGACTCTTGTTTGACTGGAAGTACCACTTGAAAACTACACATCTCACATCTTACTTATGAAATTTCCAAGGAAACATAAAGAAAAAAGGGAAATAAAAAACAAGGACTCCAGAGAAATTTTTTAGTCTGACACTGTAGTTAGAGCAAATAGAAACATAGGCTTTAAAAAAAAAAAAAAGCTAATTTCCTAATTTTAGTTTTTCAGGGCAAAAAATATTGATTACCTGGTATTCAGTATATTATTAGTTAATAACCCATAGTAGGTTAAAAGTGAAAATCTATGGAATTGTGAGCAAGTTACCTTTAGGAACTTAGTTGGGAACTGTAGGACTTTAAGGATTAGGAGGATTTGAGTTTTCATCACTAAGTTGTGTTTCATGGTATTCTGTGTGCACAGAGTGCAAATAGTGATCTGTCTTGAGGGTTTTTTTGCATTTAAATCTTAGTGTCTCAAATTATTGTTAATTGGACTGAGCATTTGCTTTTTTTTTTTTTTTTAATCTGAGGAAGGAAATGTGAGCGCCTGCAGAGGACTACAAAAGTTTGAGCTTACTGTATTTGACCCTGACTAGTTCTAGTAGGAACCTAGAAGATGCCATGTTAACATTTGTGTTCACACCTCTTGTCCTTGATTTTCTAGTTGTCTAATATATCTGACTAGGGAAATTATTTCTTCCAAATGTAAAGTGAGGAACTAGAAATCTCTACAGGATGGTGGATTTAAATGAAATAATATTTGTGTGTTTTGTTGTTGTTTTGAGACTGGGTCTTCCTAGGTTACCCAGGCTGGCCTTGAACTTAAGATCCTCCTGCCTTAGCCTCAGAACAGTTAAGATTATAGGCATGTACCGTTGTCCCTGATGATGAGATGATATATAAAGTATTTTAAATAATATTTGGCCCATAATTGATTCAATAGGAAATAAACAAGAAGTTCTTTCCTTTGTGTCCATTTTTATTTTACTCATGAGCACTCCCCCAATACTTGGGTTTGAATGTAGAGGAGTTGTATCATTAAATTATATCCCTCTGTCCATCTCTTGTTTCCTTTACTACTATTGTAGTACTGTGGATTGAACCCAGAGGTGCTTTACCACTAAGCGACTTCCTCAGCCCTTTTTATTTTTTGTATTGGGATAGGGTCTTGCTAAGTTACTGAGGCTGGCCTCAAACTTGTGATCCTTCTGCCTCAGCCTCAGGTCATTTGGATTACAAAAGTGTGCACCACTGTGCTTGGCTGTGCTACTAATAGGAAGCCTTAATGTTCTTAAAAAAACTTTTTAGTTGTTGATGGACTTTACTTTTATTCATTTATTTATATGCACTGCTGAGAATCGAACTTAGTGCCTTATACATATGAGGCAAGTGTTCTACCACTGAGCCCCAGCCCAGCCTTAATGTTCTTTAAATTAGCCTAGTGGAGGTAGAGTCACCCCTCTTTTTTTCCCTAGATTGCTGGACTTGACATTACTCTCCAGTTTTTCTCTGATTTTGCTAAGTGGTCTATGAGGTTTATGAAACAGTTACTCATCACTACAGTCATCCTTTTTAGAAGATACCGTGCTTGGAATAATATAATCAACTTGTTGAACTGTATATATATATATATATATATTTTTTTTTTTTTTTCATTTATATGATACTTCCATTATTAAAAATAAATATTGTTCTTTATTTGGCAGGTTGACGAGATTAGAGAAATGGTTGATAATGACTTAGGTTTCCAACAGGCTCCATTAATGTGCTATTCCAGAACTAAAACACTTCTCTTTATTTCAAATGATAAAAAAGTAGTTGGCTGCCTAATTGCAGAACATATCCAGTGGGTAAGTGACTTTTAGAGTGCTCATAAGTAGTTTGATGTTTACTGCATTTACTATGTAATCTGTAATAGTATAATCCTGATAATTTGTTCTACATTTAGGTAAGGAAGAATGTGAATGCATGAATTCCTTTGTGTAATTGTTTACTGTAATGGAGTTGAATCTTACATGGGAAT